GAGTAAAGTTAAAGCAAAAAATCTGATTTACTATTCAAGTATAGCTTTCTCTGTTTGTAGCCAATTATTTTGTTAATATTCTTATGCCTCCAACTTCCGTCTTAATATAATGTATTGGCTTGGTTGTTGAATATAGTAGGCTACAATTTCCACTCTATTGAAATAATTTAGACTTAGAACTTGTTGATATGAAAAAGCTCTCCAATTTAAATGTAGGGTGAACTCGAATTATTCTTTTGGTTGAGATTTCTGCCCTTTTGGGAAGATTGTTGTTTCGTATTTGACAAAAGTATCATTTCCTCTATTTAACTAGTTTCCTCGCTGCTCCCCCACACTTTATTTGTCGTGATTAATGTGCATAAAATAGTGGCTTTGTGTTATTGCTTTTTTTTTTTCTAAACTGTTCTATATGGCAATGATCTTTCATCCTCCCTTTTCCTTTAACCCGTGCTATTAAGTGAATACCGTATCTATGTTAATCAATTTCGTTCAGTTCAATTAAAATGTGACTAAGTTGAATTCAAAAGTTTGTAAACCTCATTTCTTTATATGTTGTGGAAGCTTTCGACTTATAATTTGAGCATGAAATGACTCGGTTTGATTTTAGCTTTCTTTCATAATCTGGACTATAGTTTCCTTTAGATACTTATTTCGTTGAAACTTTTGGTTTGACAACAGCAGCCTTCTAATTCTGTCCCATTGTTCTGGATGAATTTTATCTCATTAAATTGTGTCGATACATTGTTTTAACTATACTCTTCTTTGGAAATTTTTTCACCAATCTTCTTTAGTTTTTTTTTTTTCCCATTATATGCAACTGTTATCTCTATTTGTATATCATAACATGATACCTTAGAGTTCTCCATTAGTCTTTTCTTTAGTTTAAATGAAGATAAGTTTTGTGTCCATTTCAAATCAAGAGTTCTCATTTACTTGTTTGTTAATATGTTGGGAATTATGGATGTCTATCTTGTCTAATAGCAAAGCATATTGTTATTTAGACATAATTACTTGTATAAGATGTCTACTTATTCTTTTCTTTTCTCTCTTTTACACATGCTCACTCTCTCGTTGGAGTCCAAGTTGGACTCAAATCCATCTCCTTCTCATTTCGAACCGGGCCACGGAGGCCCAAAAGTTATTTACCGAGTCAATCAATCTTGAAAAATCGAAGGACAAGTCTTTGGAGGTTGACGTACAGGTCTCGGAAAGTGAATAAATGGGCTATATACATCCGATATACACTAATATACAGCCTGTGTATACAAAAACGGGATTGGTTTAAAGGCCAAAATTTTCAGCGAATTTGGCCCAAAAGGGCCCAAATTCAATTTCTCCCTTACTCTTTAATTATTTAATTGTGATTATTTATCGTTTGTTGTTTAACTCTAACTTTATATTTTTTTAATTAACTTAATTAGATTCCCCAAAAGACGAGTTACTTTCTTTGTGTTGATTTGCTTTGAATTTTTTTTTTTTGTGTTAAGGTCATTTATTTTATTAATTAAATATTGGTCGAATTTTGTATTTTAATTAAGTTAAATCTTTGTTCTTAAAAAATATATGTTTTAAAGCCGCTTCACTCGATCCATTTTTATTTTAAAGTGATTTTAAGTTAAAAGTATTTTTCTCAAATGAACTAAAAAATGTTCTCTTTCTAATTAGTCATTTTCCTCGAAAAGGTTAGTCGAAAACTTTAATTCTTCAATTAATTAAAATGGTTTCATGCTTAAATTAATCAATTTGGATCAAATTATTATTTTAGAAAATGAGTCAAGTAAGTCCTAATTTAATCTAGTTTTTTTAATAAATTTCTATTCACTTGCGTCTCAAGTAAAATATTTCATTTTGGATCCCTTTTCTCTAAAAATAAAATAAAATAAAATGTGTCATTTATTTAACTTTGTTTTAAGTTAACCAAATTGTAAGTTATTCTTCTTATGTTAAATCGTTATTTTCCTAAAAAATAGTCAAATATATTTAGTCAAGTCGCAGGTCAACCGCATGTTAGCGGGCACTTCGAATGCTTAAACCCTTCTCGAAGTGTAAATTGAACCCCGAACCCCCTTTGGTATTTTCAAATGATTTTTTCTGTTTAAAATCTTTGAAAATTATAAGTTTTCTTAATTTCTAAAAAAAAAATTAAGTGGCGACTCTTTCTAAGTATTTTTTCTCAAATTGTTTTATACTTAGAACATTTCAAAAAGTGATTTTTCTAAAATACAGTCAAATTACGACATAACAGAAATGGCGACTTCCGCTGGGGATATAATTAGGTTCTAACCATAATGACTTGACTCTCTTTGACTATTTGCTAATATTTGTTGAATTGTTTTACCTCAAATGTGCTTTATTTGCTTAAATTATGATATCAACTGTCATTGCATGCATATCATTTATTCCGTCAAATGACATTTTTTTTTCTTTCTTTTCACTTAAAGGACGATTATGCGGGCCGCAGTCGTTCGTTAACCAAATTGTTCTCGGGACACCCTGACGAATGTAGTTGGCTACTGGATAGTCAACGGTCGTTAATTGTCCCAGCCCAAGTAGTCCGCTTGGGTCACCAGTCCACTTCAAATAAACCTCACTCTTAGTCAAGACTAGTGTAGAGCCAAACCAAATCCCAAATTTAGCGCATTTGAACTAAGTCGACCCAACACCCAAGGCGTGTTTGGGCCCATTAGAAGTCCACCTTGTGTCTATTTGGCCCATTGGTCAATAAAAGACAATCATGCTTATGTGTTTGAATTTGAAGGATGTATACGCCATTTAGCAAACCATTGTCTCTTGGGGTTGAGTTTTAATCGTTTGTTCGAGTCGAAGAAGGATCAAATTATCATAGCATCCAAGAGTGTGGACATTCGAAGATGACAAGAAATCAAGGACATATGATCTTTCCTTGGAAGCATAGATTGGGATTGTACCCCTGCGCGAGACTGATATTTTGTATCCCATTTCCCCTATTATGTATCCCCATTTAGTTTATTCGTAAAACTTGTATAAATTTGGGTTTTGGGGCAATGGAATGTTTCAAATGACGTCATACATCCTTCAATTTGATAGGCCTACCTTTGGCGTAAAAAGGTCACAAGTTTAGGGCGCGATATAAACTGTTTCTGTGTTGCTTATAATTGTTTTGTGTTGTGATGTGTCACTTTGTCTAAAGCAGAATTAATCCACTTTTGTTTCTTAGAGCACTCTAAGCATAATTCACAACAACAAAGTCCGTCCAAATTACTTCTGAAGTGTTGTCCAAGTTTCTCAGAAATATATAAACCATCTCCTCTAAAAATCTCCTCAGTTTTATTCGTCCATCACAGGAAGGTCGACTTGCTAGAATGTCTGGAAAAAGTGTCAACGCACCAATCCCACCCGTTGCTTTGGTTAGTGATGAAGAAACTGAAGAGTCAATGATCAGAAAATTTGTCGAGACTAGAGAGAGGATAGCTGTAGCCAAAAAGAGACTTGCGATACTGGACCAAACTGAATGGATGCTACGAGAGAGAATGATTAAGGTTTGACATGGAAACAACCTCGGTGAAAAGAAAGATTGCAAAAATTGATCAAGAGATAATTAATATCACTCAAGCGTTTGCAAGGATACCTGAAATTGAACGGGACATTAAGGAACAAAATTTTGGGAAGGCTCCCTCCATGAAGGGAAAAAGTAAAACAAAAGTAGGTTCAGATGACGAGAGCACCGGATCGTCACCCTACAGTTGAAGAAGAAGGAGAGAAGCCTTTGGGTAGATTTAGGTTTATGTAACACTTTTCTTATGTTTGTCATGTTGTTTTTAAATTTTTTACTGTAATCAAGAACTACGCGAGACTTGAGCCCATAGGGGGTACGTAGGAAGCTCTTTTCGAGCCTAGTCTCTCTATCAATTTTGGGAAGGGTACATTTAGATTATCTTATATAATTCGAACTACGTTGGGCCTGATTTCCTTGGTGGATACGTAGGCAGCCTACTTAAGACTCGGTCCTTATCTTTTTTATTTTTATTCTCCCTTATTAGTGAATGATTCTGAAGACTTTCACCTACAAAAGCATATGAGTGGGAGAAAATAGCAAGATTCTATGCAAGTCGACCTTTCCACCTTTCCAATTCAATTACAAGAAAAAATTCTTTCCATTTGAGTCCTCCCGTTCACCCAAAATATTTTCGTGGATTAATCTGCTTGAAGCAAAATGACACTTGTGTGGTTATTATTATGTCATCTTATTTGCATATCTCGTTAAAAACAAAAACTAACACATATGTCTTTTGAGTTGTTCTTCTCTACAGGTAAAAACCGATTTGTGTTGAAATCAAACTGGCTGACCATCCCTACTTTACAAGATCTAAAGCAATCATACCATCCTTCCCTGATCATTCTCTGGAGAAAGGCAAGAGCAAAATGACTGGTACTTCTGAAGAAACAGGAATAGTGGATGTGACTATTAGAAATGCTGAACTCGCTGATCAGAGTGAGTTGATCTCTCAGTTAATGCAACGAATTGCAGACATGCAGGAAGAACTTCAACAGACCAAAGATCTGGCCAAACTGGCCATTGCATCGAATGAACCCCCCCTTGAAACAAGAAGACCGCCTCCTCCTTTTCCATCACTAAGTTCCCCATTACCCAACCATTTCCCTACCCATACCACAGGACCAATCACTTCCACCCCTAATCCTCATACCATTGATTTAACTGTATCCAATGCTCCTTACGCCAGCACTTCCTACCAAACACCACCACCATTACCAAATCAGAACCAAACACTTAACACTAATCACTCCCAAAACTTCACACCAACCTACCAAATCCCACCCCCAGCTACTGATAATCCACGTGTTTTGCCTAGCCAGCCTGCATACGCTTCCGTAACATTCCAAACTCCACCAGCCTATACAATCCCTGAACCATGTCCTAGCTTTCCCGTTCAACCGGAGCTGGATCACTATGAAGAAATGGAGAAGGAGTGGAGGTTGAGAGAAGAAAAACGTGAACAAAAATGAATATCATGAAGGATGCCATCTCCGAGGCGGTAAAAAGTGTCCAATCTTCGAGGAAGATAACAGGACTTGAGTATGAGGACCTTTGCATGCACCCTGACTTGGAAATACCCGAAGGTTACAAAATTCCAAAATTTGAAACCTTCAATGGTATTGGGAACCCTATGGCTCACCTACGAGCTTATTGTGATAAACTCGTGGGTATCGGGAAAAATGATGCATTGATTATGAGGTTGTTTAGTCGAAGCCTCAGCGGGGAGGCGTTAGAATGGTTCACATCTCAAGAACTCCGTCAGTGGTCTACATGGGGGGCTCTGGCCAAAGATTTCTTGGAGAGATTCCAGTTTAATGTCGAAGCTGTCCCTGACAGATATTATTTGGAAAAAATCAAGCAAAAGTCCACGGAGGACTATCGTGAATATGCGTGCCGCTGGAGGAAAGAAGCTGCAAAGGTACAACCTGTGATGACTGAAAACGAAATAACCTCTGCTTTTATTCGAGCTCAGGAGCCCGAGTATTATGAAAGGATGTTGCCTATGATGGGACAAAAGTTTTCGGAGCTGATCAGAATGGGAGAAGCAATAGAAGATGGCCTCAAGTCTGGAAAGGTTACAAGTCTCACTGCCTTGCAGGCCGCCAACAAATCCTCACCATCCATGGCAACAGGATTCGCTAGGAAAAAGAAAGAGGACGTGTCTGCTGTATCTTTTAGCCCGAGGCCAAGGCCGCAAAGGTATTTTGGGTCTGGTTCTGCCATTGGAAACTCCAACCGATTCCCCACCTCAAATATTTACCCACCATCTCCACAAGCTCCAATCCCAATCTACTATGCACAACAGAACTACCAAGCACCACCGCCCATCTACCAAAATCAACCACTAACCTACCAAAATACACTACCAAATCACCAAGCCAATTCACCAGTCTACCAAAATCCCGGACAAAACAACCCAAATGCCAACAATCTACCCCGTCCTAACCTTGAAAGAAAGCCTCCCAGAGTTTTCACTCCTTTGGCAGAAACACGTACCCAACTCTTTGAGCGTCTAAGAGCGGCAGGATTGATCCAACCAGTAGACGCAAGGGCAATTAATCCCACAACAAAGTTCTTCCGAGCAGATCAACGTTGTGCGTACCATTCTGGAGGGGCAGGACATGATACAGAAGGATGTATCAATCTGAAACATAAGATTCAAGACTTGATCGATAACAGGGTCATCACTCTCCAAGCCCCTGCCCCCAATGTGAACCTTAACCCATTGCCGAATCATGGAGTAGCTACCATCAACATGATTGAAAGAGACGAAGATTGGCTTACTAATGGGATTATCGGTGAAGCAGCTGTCAACTCACTTATACCAACAGTGGCCTCATTGACCATAAAGGCCCGTCCAGAGTTTGTTGTAATAACTGCACCTCATCAGGCATTTGCTTTGGTGAAGGAAGGAAGCAATGAGCAGTCCGAAAAAAGGTTTGTTGTCCAGGCGGCCGCCGTACAAGGGATGACACGCTCTGGAAGATGCTACATTCCAGAAGAACTAACTCAGGAGACACGAAGAAAGGAGAACCAGAAAAGGCCGATCACAGAAGGTGAGGCTGAAGAGTTTTGGCGAAGAATGCAGCCTAAGGAGTATTCCATTGTCAAGCATTTGGAGAAGACTCCCGCTCAAATTTCTGTTTGGGCTCTATTAATGAGTTCTGAGTACCATCGAAAAGCACTGTTGAAGGTACTTGATGAAGCATACGTGCCGACAGGAACAAGTGGTGAAAATCTGGCCGCCATGGTAAGTCATGTCATTGGGTGTCATCAAATCTCTTTCCGAGAAGAAGAGTTGCCACTCGAAGGGGTTATGCACAACCGTGCCTTGTATATCACTGTCAAATGCAGGGACAAGTTTGTAGCTCGAGTATTGATTGATAATGGGTCAGGGCTCAATATCTGCCCATTATCAACCCTGACTCAGCTAAAATATGATATAGGAAAAATCCGTCAAAGCCGCATGAATGTAAGAGCGTTTGATGGTTCGCAAAGAGAGACCATAGGGGAAGTAGACTTGTGTATCCAAATGGGGCCTGCAGAATTTGTCACTGAATTCCAGGTGATGGGTATATCTACAAGTTACAACTTATTGCTAGGAAGACCATGGATCCATGCTGTTGGAGCAGTTCCATCCACATTGCATCAGCTTTTGAAGTTCATCTGGGAGGACCATGAAATTGTCATTCATGGTGAAGGGAGTGACCGTAGGTACCCTGGTTTTTCCATTCCAGTGATTGAAGAGACTTCTCAGGGTACTGATTTTCACATGGTGGAGATAATGAATGCTGCTTTTGAAGACACGACACTGCAAGTACCAATGCCGCAAGTGTATAAAATGTTAGCTGTAACTATGCTGAGAAGTGGTTTTGAACCTGGGCGTGGGTTAGGCAAGAATTTGGATGGCATATCCGAACCTCTTCCTATACCACTTCAAAATTTTCGATTCGGTATCGGTTATGCCCCAACAGAGGAAGAATTGTTTGAAGCAGAAACAAGGAAGAAACATGACTGTGATATACCGAAGCCTATTCCAGTATTGTACCAGTCATTTGTTGCTAAAACTTTAGAGCCTGAGATTAATGGTCTAGGGGAAGGGATGGGAAGATTGTTTGATGAAGAAGATTGTGTTGTGATCTCGACAGAATGCACAACAACACCCACCATCCGAGATGCCGGACCTGGAGAGATGCTGCAGAATTGGATGGCCACTCCACTTATGATCCATCGAATGGCTTGGTAGACAAAGACAAGATTTGAAGTTTATTTTTGAAAATCGGTGTTGTTCGGAGAGGCCCGAAACCACCATTTATGTCACTTTATTTTTCATCGTAATGTTTAAAAAGGAAATGACTCATGAGTCATGACCAAAGTTTGTACGCCTTTTTAAAATTCCAATGAAAGCCTCGTTTATTTTAAATTGATTATCTTGTCATTGCGAATTATTCTGCAACAAATACATTTAAACTCTTTCCATCTAACATGGTTGATTTGTTGTTCTTTTCAGTAAAAATGAATCTAAACCTGCCAATGTCATGACATGTCACGAACACGGCGAACCAAGTAGGGTCGATGACGATGAGTGTGAAGAATATGATGAGGAAACTATGATGCCTGAACACCTTACCGAGGACTTGAGGCAACTTGAAGACGATAAAAAGCCCAATCTGGATGAAACAGAGACAGTAAACTTGGGAGATGACGGGTCGATCAGAAAAACCCGAGTCAGTGTTCATTTGGCAGCAACAGAAAGAGAAGAATTGGTCAAGCTGCTCAGACAATACATCGATGTGTTTGCCTGGTCTTATGATGATATGCCAGGGTTAAGCACTGATATTGTTTCCCACAAGCTGCCTATCAATTCAGAGTACTGTCCAGTAAAGCAGAAAACTAGAAAGTTCAAGCCCGATCTGAGTTTAAGGATAAAAGAGGAGGTCATGAAGCAGATCGAATCAAAAGTCGTTGAAGTGACCAAGTATCCCACTTGGCTGGCTAACATTGTTCCAGTGGCGAAGAAAGATGGAAAAATCAGGATATGCGTGGATTATCGGGATCTCAACAAAGCAAGTCCGAAAGATAATTTCCCCTTGCCAAACATCCACATACTCATCGATAATTGTGCTAAGCATGAGCTGCAATCTTTTGTAGATTGCTTTGCGGGATACCACCAGATTCTAATGGATGAAGAAGATGCAGAAAAAACAGCATTCATCACACCTTGGGGAGTCTACCATTATCGAGTGATGCCGTTCGGCCTCAAGAATGCTGGAGCCACTTACATGAGAGCAATGACCACCATTTTCCATGATATGATCCACAAAGAAATTGAGGTGTATGTGGACGATGTCATCATAAAATCCCGCGAGAGTTCGGATCACCTGACACACTTGGAAAAGTTCTTTAACAGGTTACGTAGGTATGATTTGAAGTTGAACCCAGCCAAATGTGCATTTGGAGTACCTGCAGGGAAGTTACTCGGATTCATAGTTAGCAGAAGAGGTATCGAGCTTGATCCTTCCAAAATCAAGGCAATTCAAGACTTACCTCCTCCAAAGACTAAGAAGGAAGTAATGAGTTTTCTGGGGAGACTAAATTACATTAGTCGATTCATAGCTCAATCGACGGTGATATGTGAACCCATATTCAAGTTACTACGAAAAGATGCGCCAACCAAATGGACCGAAGAATGTCAGAAGGCTTTTGACACCATCAAGAGTTACCTTTCGAATCCACCAGTGTTGGTGCCACCACGTGCAGGTAGTCCTTTGCTATTGTATTTATCCGTCTCAGACAATGCATTCGGGTGTGTGTTGGGACAACATGATGAGACCGGAAGAAAGGAGAGAGCTATATACTATTTGAGCAAGAAGTTCACATCCTATGAGGCCCGTTACACCCTTTTAGAGAGAACTTGTTGTGCTTTGACTTGGGTTGCTCAGAAATTGAGACATTATTTGTCGGCTTATACAACACATCTCATTTCGAGGATGGACCCGCTTAAGTACATATTTCAGAAAGCGATGCCCACAGGAAAGCTAGCAAAGTGGCAAATGTTGTTGAGTGAGTTCGATATTGTGTACATGACTCAGAAAGCAATCAAGGGACAAGCTTTGGCAGATCACCTTGCTGAAAACCCAGTAGATGAAGGATATGAACCACTTAGAACATATTTCCCTGATGAAGAAGTATTGTTTGTAGGGGAAGACATATCAGAATCATATCCTGGGTGGAGAATGTTTTTTGATGGAGCAGTAAACTCTATAGGATCAGGAATTGGAGCAGTGTTGATATCTGAATCAGGGCAACATTATCCAGCAACAGCAAAGCTCAGATTCCGATGCACTAATAACATGGCTGAGTATGAAGCATGTATTCTTGGCATTAGAATGGCTCTTGACATGAATGTTCAAAAATTACTTATAATTGGTGATTCAGACTTGTTGATTCATCAAGTTCAAGGAGAATGGGCAGTGAAGAATCCTAAAATCTTACCATACGTACAATTGGTACAAAGATTATGCAAAAGATTTAGGAAGACCGAGTTCAGACACACACCGAGAATACAGAACGAGCTTGCTGACGCCCTTGCAACCATATCGTCCATGATACAACATCCAGAAAAAAGTTATATCGATCCAATTGAGATAGTCTTAAAAGAACAACCAGCACATTGTTCACATGTGGAAGCAGAATGGGACGGGAATCCATGGTATATCGATGTGAAAAAGTACTTAGAAGCTGGCGAATATCCGGAAAAAGCAACAAGTATTCAAAAGAAAACAATCCGAAGAATGGCAAACAATTTCTTCTTGAATGGAGAAGTTCTTTATAAGAGGACACCCGATCTGGGATTACTGAGATGTGTGGATGCTGCAGAAGCCACAAAATTGCTTGAAGAAGTGCACGCTGGAGTGTGTGGGACGCACATGAATGGGTTTACATTAGCAAAGAAAATCTTAAGGGCGGGATACTTCTGGATGACTATGGAAAATGATTGTGGTCGATTTGTCCAAAAATGTCATAAATGCCAGGTACACGGAGATCTGATCAAAGTACCACCCCACGAGCTCAATACGATGAGTTCCCCTTGGCCATTTACAGCTTGGGGAATGGATGTTATTGGACCTATTGAGCCTGCCGCCTCTAATGGTCATAGGTTCATTTTGGTCGCCATTGATTACTTCACAAAGTGGGTTGAAGCTGCTTCCTACAAAGCTGTGACAAAAAAAGTTGTGGCCGATTTTGTTCGCAACAATTTGATATGTCGTTTTGGAGTTCCAGAGTCTATCATCACAGACAATGGAGCAAATCTGAATAGTCACTTGATGAAAGAGATATGTGAACAATTCAAAATTACCCACCGTAATTCAACTGCATATCGTCCTCAGATGAATGGAGCTGTAGAAGCTGCTAATAAGAATATCAAGAGGATACTGAGGAAGATGATTGACAACTACAAATGTTGGCATGAAAATTTGTCTTATGCTTTGCTAGGCTATCGTACCACAATCCGAACCTCAACTGGAGCAACTCCTTACCTATTGGTATACGGAACAGAAGCAGTGATACCAGCTGAAGTTGAGATACCATCTTTAAGGATTATTCAGGAAGCTGGAGTGAGCGATGCCGAATGGATTCGTGACCGATATGAGCAATTGGCATTGATTGATGAGAAAAGAATGAGTGCCGTTTGTCATGGCCAGCTGTATCAACAGAGAATGACTCGTGCTTTCAATAAGAAAGTAAGAGTTCGAACATTTGAGGTCGGCCAATTGGTGTTGAAACGCATTTTCCCTCATCAAGACGAATACAAAGGAAAGTTTGCACCTAACTGGCAAGGACCGTATGTTGTCCACAAAGTACTATCAAGAGGAGCCTTGGTTCTAGCGGAGATGGACGGTCAGGTGTGGCGCAAAGCTATCAATTCAGATGCTGTTAAGAGATACTATGTGTGAAACCTCAATTTGTATTTTCTTGTAATTTTCTTGTAATCGTTCTATTTGCTTGTAATCGCGTCGTTTTAGATTTTATCCCTCTTGCAATGAACTACGTGCGACCTGAATTCTCATAAATGAGATACGTAGGCGGCCTATGTCGGCCTCGGTCACCCATTTATCAATTCGTAATGTTTTCTTAGTACTTGAACTACGTTCGACCTGAATTCTCGAGAATGAGATACGTAGGCGGCCTATGTCGGCCTCGGTCATTTCCTTATAAAATTTTCTTTTTTGTCACTTCTCGAGATGGGAACTACGTTTGACCTAATTCCTGTCTCAACAGGATACGTAGGCGCCACAAGGGTTCAGTTATATTCCCAATAAGATTTCAATTTCCCCTCACAATGGAAACTGGGACGAATTTTTTGAGAAAACCTCAAAAATTCTACAAGAAGTGTCATTTCCTACAAACAAGAGTCAATATCATATTGAAATATGCAACTAGGGATAATTTTGAGGAGATCTCAAATGCAAGACTCCCGTGATCATCATCAGATTTGTTTTCGAAACATCTAACTGGGACAGAATTTTTGAGAAGGACCTCAAAAATTCCATCAAGGATACTCGGACCTTCGAAGTCAACTTTAATTGCCTCAAATTGACGTGTTCTTAAAGGGTTTTAAGTTGCCAGCAAGCTACCTGTCATATCACAATCTGAGACAAAGGGTTTTGTTCGTGTCGTGCATGTCGTGACAATTAATTGGCAGAGATTTTCTTTAAAACTACTTTTCAAAAACTTCATACCTAGCAAATGTTTTAATATGATCTTGTCTTTTGTCTACTGTAATGCATTGGACCTACCAGACAAAGTTGCAGAGATAACGAGACCAGGAGCAAGGCGATTTCAACACAGATCAGTGTTCCAAAACTAACATGTTTTTGTGGATGCAGGGTATAATGAGATCATCAAATGAACTATGTTTACCAACCAACCAGTTCAGGAGAACATATCCAGCAAATATCAATTAGTTGTGAGATACCGATGGAAATTATGTTATGATCAAAAAGTACCTATCATCATATCAAATATGGATGAAAGACGACGTTCATAGTCAAATTCATATTCAAATTGCTGAGAGGGCCATTCATATTCAAGTTGCCGAGAAGGCCATTCATATTAAAATTGCCGAGAAGGCCATTCATATTCAAACCGCCAAGAGGGCCATTGCATATTTAAACCGCCGAGAGGGCCATCATGTTCAAAACCCCAAGAGGGCCATTCATATTCAAATTGCCGAGAGGGCCATTCATATTCAAGTTGCCGAGAGGCCATTCATATTCAAACCGCCGAGAGGGCCATCATGTTCAAAACCCCAAGATGGCCATTCATATTCAAGTTGCCGAGAAGGCCATTCATATTCAAATTGCCGAGAGGGCCATCATGTTCAAAACCCCAAGATGGCCATTCATATTCAAGTTGCCGAGAAGGCCATTCATATTCAAGTTGCCGAGAAGGCCATTCATATTCAAATTGCCGAGAAGGCCATTCATATTCAAATTGCCGAGAGGGCCATTCATATTCAAGTTGCCGAGAAGGCCATTCATATTCAAGTTGCCGAGAAGGCCATTCATATTCAAATTGCCGAGAAGGCCATTCATATTCAAATTGTCGAGAGGGCCATTCATATTCAAGTTGCCGAGAAGGCCATTCATATTAAAATTGCCAAGAAGGCCATTCATATTCAAACCGCCAAGAGGGCCATTTCATATTCAAACCGCCGAGAGGGCCATCATGTTCAAAACCCCAAGAGGGCCATTCATATTCAAGTTGCCGAGAAGGCCATTCATATTCAAGTTGCCGAGAAGGCCATTCATATTCAAATTGCCGAGAAGGCCATTCATATTCAAATTGCCGAGAGGGCCATTCATATTCAAGTTGCCGAGAAGGCCATTCATATTCAAGTTGCTAAGAGGGCCATTCATATTCAAAATGCCGAGAAGGCCATTGCATATTAAATTGCCAATAAGGTCATTCATATTTAAATTGCCGAGAGGGCCATTTATATTTAAATTGTCGAGAGGGCCATTTATATTCAAACTGCCGAGAGGGCCATTTATATTCAAACTGCCGAGAGGGCCATTCATATGCAAACCGCCGAGAAGGCCATTCATATTTAAATTGCCAAATGGTCATTGCATATTCAGACCATCAAGAGAACCACCAACATATTACATCAATCTATTACTGCTTCGATATCAAAAGAAAAGTACACTGAAGATTATATTGCAAATATGAGACACAAGCTTTATTTGCTTCACGTCAAACCCGATAAAGTTGACGTCAAATGTTCAAGGAGAACAATTCAGTGTCAACACGGTAAAAGACATTATCCCTTCATTTGAATGACATTTTTATGCTAATGAGTTTTATCTCAGTCTTTGTCGAGAGCATCCAAGAGGATGAATTCTCAAAACAAACCACAGGTGCGAACGACATCAATTAGGGTGTAGCACAACGTGGAACTTTTTCTTAGCAGCGAACTGGGACATAGTCCAAAGAGGAGTGTCAAACTCTTAGGACGCGAGCAGAGGAACAACTTTCACCACAATCAAATCACACCCCTATCAGAAGGCATGTGGGTTTTTCTTAGATTGGTCAGTTCCTATTTTGCATCCGGAAAATTTCGGGTTCACCGGAAGCAATTTTCTAATCTGAGTGACAATTTACCAAGAGCTTTGGAAATTATGTCTGTGTAAGTTCTTAATTATGGATGTGAAGCGCGCCACACTCATGACTAAGAGGTTGCAAGCCTCTTTTTCACACTCAATTTATTTTGTCGCTTCTCCGAAACCAAAGGTTATCTTGCATAAAAGATTTCCTTTTCAACCAATTGAGTCGAACTACAAACAGCCTGATTCCTAAGGTCTAAGGATATGTAGGCGGGATCAATGTCGAAAACTCGGCTGTATTCCGACATCCTCTCTCAATTCTTATTCTCAAGCATTCCGGTCTCTTCATAATTCGATATCGGGATAACTTTTGAATTTTTTCATAATCGTGCATCAAATTAAGCGTATCGAACTACAAGTGGCTTGAATTCTCATTTAGCTTGAGATATGTTGGAAACCTGATACCGAGGTTCGGCAATGATTCCTGAAGTCCATACCAAAATCCTTTTCCTGAAGATGAAGATGTGGTCGGTCAAAATTGGATTCGTCAATTTCATTTGCCTCGAATTTCTTTCATCGATCCGAGTCAAACGAGGGACAGTTGTTGACACCCAATTTTGGACCTCCACATTATAGATTAATCATCGAGTTTCTTCAATTTCAAACGATTTAAAATAATTAGTTTCATAAATTTTTAGAAAAAAAGAAATATATATATATATATATTGCAAGTTTCTAAATAGTCTATCACTTTTTATAATTTCTAATAATATATATGTTTTATATAATTATGTATGAAGTAAGTATATCTTATACATATTCGAAGATCATCTCAGAAGATTTTATATTTTTTAGTGTATTTTAAAGTGATGGCTATAATTTTGAATTAATTAGCTTTTATGAGATTCGAAATATTTTTCGAGTTATTTTTTATGTAAGTTTTGTCAATTTTATAAATTTTTTTTAAAAAATAATTAAAATGTTTTTATAGTTATGTATATAATTAGTATATTTTTATTTGAAAATCGTCTCAAAAGTTTTAATTTTGCTTTAAATTTCGCCAATTAGTTTAATTAATTAATAGTTAATATTTTTTTTAAAATTAGTTATTTAATTTTGTTAAGATTAAGAAACTCGTTAATTAATTATATTAATTCGTCTCATTTAGGTTTTAGCCTTTTGCAAATTAAAATCAATTTGGCTATATTTCTTTTTATGATTTTAGTCATTTTTATTTTACCTCCTTTAAAACCTTTAAGAAATCAAATTTGGGCCTCTTTCCATTACCCTTCAACCGGCCCAATTCCACTAGCAGCCCACCTTTCCAAATTTCCAAATTTCAACCAAAAAAAAAAGAAAAAAGAAACCATTACGTACAATAACAATACCACACGCATAACAGTAGCAAAACGACTCCCTGTACACATCTTGTTCTTCTTTAGAAGCTAAGAACAGAGTGCCCATCCCTCTGTAAAAAATCCAACAAATCCGAAAATCTCGTCGCCCGTCTGCAAACCCATAACCCTAGCAACCTAATCCATCACCCTCGCGTCTCTTTTTCCCCCCTTTTCACGGAAATCGCAGGCCTGCACAACAGCCTTCACTGTTGCTTCGCAAGAGCAGTAGAAATTCAAATCTCTGTTTGAATTTTCCAGCGGATCTTTCCCTATAAATAACCCTCTTACTCTCAGTGATTAGGGGACGGTTTTTGAGAGCTTAGTTCTGAAACAATAGTCGTCTTACACAAAAAGAAAATTCAAACGATTCCCTAGATCCTAGGTTTCGAGAAAACTTCTGTTCGTAGCTGGTTCTAAATTTATTGATTTGCTGTTAGTATTAAAATTTCGCGGTGGAAGAGTCTCTGTTCGCAGCTCGTCTTGTCTCAGTTCACTGCCCGAAAAGAGGTAAATTCTTTCTTAGCTTTGCTAATTCGTCGTTCTTCTATGTGTTTTGTTTATGTGTTCTTAGTTTTGTTTTATGTCTCTATAGGTTAGAATTTGGTTTACGAGTATTATCTAGAACAATGTTCCTCTATTTCTTTTGTTAGTATAGTCACAAATCTACTTAGCTTATTAGATTATGTTCCGGTTACTCGTTTGAATCATCCATAAAGATTATTGTTTATCTTGGGTTTACCCCTCGTATTTGTTCGATGATAGGCGTCTGAATTCGTGTTTATGCATCTAAGAAATGTCAAGTGCATTGGTGCGATTTCTCTGTATAAAGCTACTGTTTATAGAGTTGTTTTTTTTTTTAGTATTTCTTCTTTGACATGATGGTGTCCATGTTTGCGCTTCTTCATAGTCGACATTGGTTCAAGTTCTAAGTTGCTGGTAGCTTGTCTAGGCATAGTTTCGAGTCTATTTCAGTGGGTGTTGCTTCGAAATGAGTTCTAAATCTGTGAATCTTCTTAGTTTTAATTCGAAAGTGTGCATGTATTCAACTTAAGAGTTAATCTTGTTTCTGGTTTCTGCATATACTCTTGTGGTTTGTTATTTTCTTAAGCTTGTAGGCTGTCCAAAGTTTTCCTTTCATATCCATTTGAATTTCAACTACTCGTTATGCCATCTTAGATTGATTTTATGCTTAGTATGGTTTTGGGATTAATGGTTTAGTGCTTCTAACATATGTGTGATAGCATATTGGTCTCTTATGTGATCACTTTAAGTATTTTGAGTAAAGTTAAAGCAAAAAATCTGATTTACTATTCAAGTATAGCTTTCTCTGTTTGTAGCCAATTATTTTGTTAATATTCTTATGCCTCCAACTTCCGTCTTAATATAATGTATTGGCTTGGTTGTTGAATATAGTAGGCTACAATTTCCACTCTATTGAAATAATTTAGACTTAGAACTTGTTGATATGAAAAAGCTCTCCAATTTAAATGTAGGGTGAACTCGAATTATTCTTTTGGTTGAGATTTCTGCCCTTTTGGGAAGATTGTTGTTTCGTATTTGACAAAAGTATCATTTCCTCTATTTAACTAGTTTCCTCGCTGCTCCCCCACACTTTATTTGTCGTGATTAATGTGCATAAAATAGTGGCTTTGTGTTATTGCTTTTTTTTTTTCTAAACTGTTCTATATGGCAATGATCTTTCATCCTCCCTTTTCCTTTAACCCGTGCTATTAAGTGAATACCGTATCTATGTTAATCAATTTCGTTCAGTTCAATTAAAATGTGACTAAGTTGAATTCAAAAGTTTGTAAACCTCATTTCTTTATATGTTGTGGAAGCTTTCGACTTATAATTTGAGCATGAAATGACTCGGTTTGATTTTAGCTTTCTTTCATAATCTGGACTATAGTTTCCTTTAGATACTTATTTCGTTGAAACTTTTGGTTTGACAACAGCAGCCTTCTAATTCTGTCCCATTGTTCTGGATGAATTTTATCTCATTAAATTGTGTCGATACATTGTTTTAACTATACTCTTCTTTGGAAATTTTTTCACCAATCTTCTTTAGTTTTTTTTTTTTCCCATTATATGCAACTGTTATCTCTATTTGTATATCATAACATGATACCTTAGAGTTCTCCATTAGTCTTTTCTTTAGTTTAAATGAAGATAAGTTTTGTGTCCATTTCAAATCAAGAGTTCTCATTTACTTGTTTGTTAATATGTTGGGAATTATGGATGTCTATCTTGTCTAATAGCAAAGCATATTGTTATTTAGACATAATTACTTGTATAAGATGTCTACTTATTCTTTTCTTTTCTCTCTTTTACACATGCTCACTCTCTCGTTGGAGTCCAAGTTGGACTCAAATCCATCTCCTTCTCATTTCGAACCGGGCCACGGAGGCCCAAAAGTTATTTACCGAGTCAATCAATCTTGAAAAATCGAAGGACAAGTCTTTGGAGTTGACGTACAGGTCTCGGAAAGTGAATAAATGGGCTATATACATCCGATATACACTAATATACAGCCTGTGTATACAAAAACGGGATTGGTTTAAAGGCCAAAATTTTCAGCGAATTTGGCCCAAAAGGGCCCAAATTCAATTTCTCCCTTACTCTTTAATTATTTAATTGTGATTATTTATCGTTTGTTGTTTAACTCTAACTTTATATTTTTTTAATTAACTTAATTAGATTCCCCAAAAGACGAGTTACTTTCTTTGTGTTGATTTGCTTTGAATTTATTTTTTTTTGTGTTAAGGTCATTTATTTTATTAATTAAATATTGGTCGAATTTTGTATTTTAATTAAGTTAAATCTTTGTTCTTAAAAAATATATGTTTTAAAGCCGCTTCACTCGATCACATTTTTATTTTAAAGTGATTTTAAGTTAAAAGTATTTTTCTCAAATGAACTAAAAAATGTTCTCTTTCTAATTAGTCATTTTCCTCGAAAAGGTTAGTCGAAACTTTAATTCTTCAATTAATTAAAATGGTTTCATGCTTAAATTAATCAATTTGGATCAAATTATTATTTTAGAAAATGAGTCAAGTAAGTCCTAATTAATCTAGTTTTTTTAATAAAATTCTATTCACTTGCGTCTCAAGTAAAATATTTCATTTTGGATCCCTTTTCTCTAAAAATAAAATAAAATAAAATGTGTCATTTATTTAACTTTGTTTTAAGTTAACCAAAATTGTAAGTTATTCTTCTTATGTTAAATCGTTATTTTCCTAAAAAATAGTCAAATATATTTAGTCAAGTCGCAGGTCAACCGCATGTTAGCGGGCACTTCGAATGCTTAAACCCTTCTCGAAGTGTAAATTGAACCCCGAACCCCCTTTGGTATTTTCAAATGATTTTTTCTGTTTAAATCTTTGAAAATTATAAGTTTTCTTAATTTCTAAAAAAAAATTAAGTGGCGACTCTTTCTAAGTATTTTTCTCAAATTGTTTTATACTTAGAACATTTCAAAAAGTGATTTTTCTAAAATACAGTCAAATTACAACATAACACAAATTATTTAATTTTAATTAAAATAAATATTAAAAAAATAAGAATAAAAAACTAGAAAACCTAAACAAGTGTTCGTGGAGTTTTTCTAAGGAGCTTACCTCATGAATTTCTTTATTATTTAGTTTTGAATATAAGACTTGGATAATAAACACTATTTATATTATATGTAATAGAATGTTTTAGGGCTTGAACAATTAATTAGTTTCTTGATTACATTTTAAAAAATACTTTAAGTAATTATATATTGTTAACTAAAGTTTTAATCATAAGTGTTCTTTAGTTTACTAGTTTGTTTTTCAGATATTATTATTTTTTTCTGTAAATATTTATTGCTAGATTTTATTTAGAATTATTGAAACAATGTTACTGTTTATGACATTGATTTGACATAAAAAAAAAAAAGAGCCAGCCCGCCCCAGCCTTTGAGCCTTCTGGGGTTGGGCCGGGTTGGCCATTTTACAGCCCTTTGAAATGAAGGGCCGCCCCGCCCCAGTCCATCAAATTCTTTGGCCCGCAATGATTGGGTAGGGTAGGGTAGGGTAGGCTGACCTATTTTGACAGCTCTACACACAACCATAATATTGTACGTAGAGCAAGAGGGCCAATAAGCAAGTTTATATAATGGGAACAGCAAACGCCGACTGCTTATTAATTACTCTCTAGTTTAGTTCTTCTGTTCCTACCCAATTACCAAGACACTTCATAGGATGCACAAAGCAAAACTCTTCTTTTTCTTAAAATTTCAATTATTACTAATTAATGACCTATAGTCTAGATTTCTTAAACGGTTGTTTTTTGTTGTCTATAAATAACATATTTTTGCTTAATTAACTTACATTACTTCATTTCATTTATTTATTTTTCTCCTTTTTGCTCCCAATATTTAATTAGACATCACTCTCCAATTAGTAATGGCTCGTTTTGCAATATTTATGCTTTTGATTGCTTTGGTTACTATGTTAGTTTGTGTTGCACCATGTTTTGAAGCAAGAAGACAATTGAACAACATGGATAAGAAGGTAACTAACCTGGCTTCTTCGGCCCCATGCAAAGAAGGTCATGTTTATGGTAACTTGAATCCTGGCCCTAGTCCTGGAGCCGGCCATTCTGGCCCACCTGGTCTTGGAATGGGTCATGTTTATGGTAACTTAAATCCTGGTCCTAGGCCTGGGGCCAGCCATTCTGGCCCACCTGGTCCCGGAACGGGCCATGTTTATGGCAACTTGAATCCCGACCCTAGTCCTGGAGCCGGCCATTCTAGCCCACCTGATCCTGGAATGGGCCACATTTATGTCAACTTGAATCCTGGCCCTAATCCAGGAGCCGGCCATTCTGGCCCACCTGTTCCTGGAATGAGTCATGTTTATGACAACTTAAATCCTGGCCCTATTCCTGGAGCTGGCCATTCTGGCCCACCTGGTCCTACAATGAGCCATGTTTATGGCAACTTGAATCCTGACCCTAGTCCTGGAGCTGGTCATTCCAGCCCACCTGGTCCTGGAATTGGCCATGTTTATGGTAACTTGAATCCTAGCCCTAGTCCTGGAGCCGGCCATTCTGGCCCACCTGGTCCTGGAATGGGCCATGTTTATGGCAACTTGAATCTTGCCCTAGTCCTGGAGCCGGTCATTCTGGCCCACCTGTTCCTGGAATGAGCCATGTTTATGGCAACTTGAAGCCTGGCCCTAGTCTTGGTGCCGACCATTCTGGCCCACCTGGTCCTGAAATGGGCCATGTTGATCGTAGGTTTATGTCAGTCTCGAGTCATGATATTGGTCAATGATCGTTCAATTAGTAAATGTGCAACTTTTGATTTTGCGGTAGGTTGCAATATTTTAAGTACAATATTATGTGACAGTATGTTCATGGACATATATGACCATTTATGAATTAAGGATATATTTTGATCAACATGTACTTCTAGTTATTACTAGGTAATGTTGCCCGTGCTATGCACGGGCACGGGCCCAATAATATAAATAGTATGTTTTGGGGCTAATAACGGAGATTTTGAAGCGATTGTTTGCGTGGATAAAGGAATAAGTTTTTTTATCACAAACTTGTACTTTATTTGACGCTATTCAATGCACAATAAGACTATCCACATACAACATTTTTGAAATATTTTATGTTGTCAATTATCATGATTTATAGTATTTTTACGATAGATTCACTTAAAGAATGAGTGAAATTTTTTGTATTTTTTTTCAAAACATATTTTATGTTGTCAATTATCATGATTTATAATATTTTTACGCATTTTTTAAATATAAAAAACCCAAAAAAAAATAAGACAAATAAATTAAAATGGACCCAATATATGTTATTTTTGTTGTCTCAATTTATGTCACACAAATAAAATTTGGAGAGTCATCCAAATTTTAATTTTTTTTTTAAAAATGTTTTAAGTTATTAATTATTGTGATTTATAATATTTTGATGTAACTTTCAAATAACCAGCATTACTGGTCACTTTGTTCTAATTTATGTGATATGGATAAAATTACAAAATTAACCCTTTTAAAATATCTTTCAGATATTTTAAGTTGTTAATTATTATTATTTATAATACTTTTTTGGTAATTTTAAAATGATATGTGTTATTTTTTCTGTCCTAATATATGTGAGCCTGAAAGAATTCTGAGAGTGAACCTATTTTATTATATAGCTTTTAAATATTTTAAATTGGTAATTATTGTAATTTTTAATGTTTTTTAAGTCATTTGTAAATTATATATGTTGCTTCCTTTGTCCCATTTTATATAGTATAAATAAAATTCCCGAAACCAACAAAATTTTAAATATATTTTTAAAAATATTTTAAATTAATAATTATTGCGATTTATAATATTAAAAAAAAAAGTACAAAACTTGTATCAGCCTAAAAAATGACCACGATAATTCGAAGCCTACAGAAAGCAATATGGCTGTACGTAATTTTTAAATACTTAATATATATTACTCCACTTGTCTCAATGTATGTAGCATTGATAAAATTTCAAGATTCAATCAAATGTTGTTAATTGTTAACATTTATAATACATTTTATGTAGTTTTCAATAATTTCACATTAAACAATACATATTACTACTTTTGTCTCATTTTATGTGATATTGATAGATTAATTTTAACAATCAGTCAATTAATTTTTTCTGTTTTTTAATAAATATTTTAAGTGGTCAAAATCACGATTTATTGTATTTTATACATAATTTTTAACGATAGATTAATTTCAAGAATTAATCAATTTTTTTTATATGTATTTATTTTTGAAATATTTTATGTTGTCAATTATCATGATTTATAGTATTTTTACGCAATTTTTAAATATAAAAAAAAATTAAGACAAATAAATTAAAATGGACGCAATATATGTTATTTTTGTTGTCTCAATTTATGTGACACAAATGAAATTTGAAGAGTCATCGAAATTTGCATTTTTAAAAAAATGTTCTAAGTTATTAATTATTGTGATTTATAATATTTTTATGTAACTTTCAAATAACTTACATTACTGGTCACTTTGTCCTAATTTATGTGATATGGATAAACTTACAAAATTAACCCTTTTAAAATGTCTTTCAGATATTTTAAGTTGTTAATTATTATTATTTATAATACTTTTTTGGTAATTTTGAAATGATATATGTTATTTTTTCTGTCCCAATATATGTGACCCAGATAGAATTTTGAGAGTCAACCTATTTTATTATATATCTTTTAAATATTAAATATTTTAAGTCAGTTGTAAATGATTTATTATATTATATTATTATATATTATATTATATATATATATTTATGTATATATTTTATATTTATTTCTACTATATAATAAAAGGGGTTTTATTATGATATTATATATTATATAAACTCCCTTTTATTATATAGTAGAAAAATAAATATATATTATATATATTATATAGTAGAAAAAATGATTTATTATATTATATATTATATAGGGAGTTTATGATGGGACACATAGAATGTCCCATGATAAACTCTCTCTTATATAATAGTAGAATTACAATTACAAAATTAACCCTTTTAAAATGTCTTTAAGATATTTTAAGTTGTTAATTATTATTATTTATAATACTTTTTTGGTAATTTTAAAATGATATATGTTATTTTTTCTGTCCCAATATATGTGACCCGGATAGAATTTTGAGAGTGAACCTATTTTATTATATATCCTTTAAATATGAAATATTTTAAGTCATTTGTAAATGATTTATTATATTATATTATTATATATTATATAAACTCCCTTATGTAGAAAAATAAATATATATTATATAGTAGAAAAAATGATTTCTTATATTATATATTATATATTATATAAGGAGTTTATGATTGGACATCACAATGTCCCATCATAAACTCCCTCTTATATTATAAGAGAATTTTTGGCAATGACTAAATATTCCAAAAGTCTCAACTAATTAAACGTTGTAAGTAGTAGTATACATATAAAATGCTAATAATTTATTTGACTTAGTTAAGGATAATCTGAAATGCTAAGTGGAGCATTTGTTTTTTTAATCAGTAAAATTGATCTTTTTATTATTTAAAACAATATTAACAACAAAATTTTAATTTTTAACAATTCAAGAAAAGTTTTTTATTTTTTTAAAAAAAATCTGATAGAAATTGTTTTCTATCCTAATCACCTAAATTCACAGGAAGGTGTCATATTAAATTTGAAGTTGTAGTGAAAGTAATTAATCTGTGCTTCAAACCAAGCAATTAAAATTATCTTATATATGTGGGAGAAATTCTACCTATATCACACTCAAAATTACATTAAATATTCAATTAAGAAACTGAAAAAAAGAATTAAAATATTTAAATTCACAAACGGGTGAATTTTTTAATAATATAAGCCTAAGTATAAAAAAAATGAATAAAGACCAAACTTGATAATTTTTTAAATATTTAAAGAACTAAATCCAACAAGTTTATATTTAAGGTTTCATTTTGGACGTATTTCTACCCCCCTCCCCCCCCCCCCCCCCGTTTTGACACGGGGACTAAGAAGTAGTAAATAATAGCAGTAATTTTAGCAAATCAACCTTATTAAATATAAATCATCAAAATATTTTTAAAAAATGAATAGTATTTAATGACAAAGGTTAAATAAACACAATATAATTAATTATTCATCAATTTTATAAATTGAATAAATATTATTGGGCGGAGTTAGATAAGAAACTATTTATGACATTTTTCTCAATCTATATATAATGTAAAGGAGAAACATAGATGATGTGATGTGACACTTCTCTGTGGCTTCCATTCAGACTTATTTTTTGAGATTTTTTTAAAGATTTTTTCTTAATTTTTTTCATAAAATATTTTCTTTATTAAATAAGAAAGAGTAAGTTTTAGGTTTAGCAAACATAAAAATCATATTAACGCTCTATAGCTACAGTTTTGCTATTTGCACTCCATAGCAAACATTGTTTGCTATGAAACATCAGATCTTTTTAAAAATCGCAGACATCTTTGATTTGTATAAAATCGTTGGCATCTAATTTGTATAAATCACATCGATTTGTATAAATAAGGCGTCTGTGTCTATGAAAATTGTGTTTGTATATGCATATGGTCTTTGTGTTTGTATATCTGCATAAAACTTGAATTCACATGCAATTGAATCGAGTTAAAACAATTGTATTTGTATATCAAATCTCTCTCGCTTTATACAAACACAAATTATATATTGTATTTTGTATAAATTTGTGTTTGTATAAAACAAGAAAGAGTGAAAGGCAAAAGAGAACTAGGCAGAGGAAGATCTGTATTGTATAATTATAAGTGTATAGAACGAAGAGATATGTATTTGTATTTGTATATATAGTTTTCTCTCGGTTTATACAAACACAAACACAATTTATACATTTGTGTTTGTATAAAGTGAGAGAGGCGAGGGAGAGTGGCGAGTGAGATTTCTGGGGAGAGAGGCGAATGGAAAAGTGTTTGCTACGGATTAGAATTAAATGAAACCGTGGTTATAACATTTAATTTGAATTAATAGTTTGCTATTTTATACAATTTTTCCCAATAAGAAATTCAATCATATTTACTATTCTAATTATATCTGATGAGTTACAAAAAAACCTCCATCTATTTATAATTTTTCTACTTAAATAACATGCCTTTTGAACTCCTTTCTTATCAAATCTATTAATAACAATCATCCATGCAGATGTTGAATATTTATTTTTCATTTTTTTCTATTAGCATAGTTTTTTTTCTCTCTTTTTTATAAATTTTATCCTTCATCTTTTCCATAAGAAATCATAGAAAAGATAGTGACATGATATGTCCTTCACTTTGATGAAGATCAAAGATATATTCTTCAAAAATTCATTACGAGGAGATGTTCACATTAGTTTAGTACAAGTTCATCAAAGTGAAGAAGGAAGCTTAATTATGTTGAAATTAAAGATTCATCAAGAGAGATGGTCATATTAGTATAAAGTTTGAATGTTTCCAATATATTAAAAATTCCTTAATGTAATGTATTGTTTTTATTTCAAAATTCTAAAATTTTGCTATGGTTGAAAGATATATTGTCTACGGTACATTTTTCATAGCTATTGGATATTGTTGTGCTTAAAAATCTATATATTATAAACTATATGTTAGAAAAGTGAAGTTGTTCCTCTCTTTGGCCAAGGATCCTATTTATTCTTTCCCTCAAATTTTTGACAAACATATTTTTCTACTTACTTATTATTGTACAAAAAATAAATATATCAATTACTACTCTTCTATA